TACATTAAAGAAATGTATAAAAAATTAAAATATAACAAAAATGATTTATAAATAGCATTAATATTATAGTATATATAACTTATATTTTATAATATATTGATATTAACATGTCAATAAATATGTTAATCTCTTGTAATATTTAATATATTTTACATTAATTTTTGCGAGTTGTCTTTATTCGGCTTATTAAACGGTAGATATTTAATATTTTTCGAATGTATACATGTATACATGAATAAGAATTGGGATGTTTTTTCCAATAGGTGTTTCTATAAAAAAAAAAAACATAAAATGACATTGAAAACATTTTATTCAGTCTGTAAGAAGCATTCTACATGATGATCGTAATAATACGAACAGTAATAAAAAAAAAAGGAAAATCATAATATTAATGAAAACGATGGTAATGATGATATTGATATTGATAAAAATGTAATAATAATTATAATCATGATATTGATGCCACTGACGATGGCGATAATTTATGACTTGATTTGATTTTATCGTGACCAAGGCGAAAACGGGATGACAATGACAACGACGATGACAATGAAAATGATGATAATGATGATGATAGTAGTGGTGGTGGTTTAGTGATGGTGATGAGAATAATAATGATGATGATAGTGGTGGTGGTTTAGTGATGGTGATGATAATGGTAGTAGTGTGGTGGTTTAGTGATGATGATAATAATAATGATGATGATGATGATGATGATGGTGATGATGATAATGATAATGATAATGATAATGATAATGATGATGATGGTGGTGATGGTTGTGATAATGAGAATGATGATGATGAGGATGACAATGACGATGACGATGATAAATTACTATTATTATCAAACGATAATAATAGTAATAATATTATTATTAGTAGTAGAAGTAGTAATAGTATTAATAGTAGTTGCAGTAATAGTAGTAATGATAGTATTAATCCATAATAATAATTCATTCATAATAACCATTTGTAATATACAGGTAAACTCTCTTACATGTTGAATTTTCATAATACATAAATAATAGAAAATTTACCAATAAATGAAACATTATATTTTCTCAGACTATGAATGTAGTCAATAAATTATTCCTATCTTGACTCTGCTGCAAAGATATCTTGTTTCTTTTGTATTCGGCAGCATTGTTGGATTTGAAGAACTACTTTAAAATCACTGTTTACAGTAACGTTTACATTCCTTATGTCTTTCTGTACATTGATCAATCATATATCTATCTACTATGTAGATACAAAACCATATGAAAACGATTCTATTTCAAATAGAATAAACTTTATATATTTTTTGTAAATATAATATAACAATCTAAAGAATTCTAGTAAAAAAATCTCAGTACAGTAAATATTTAAACAATAAAGGATGACATAGTTATGCAAACGAAACTGTTACAGTTTCATTACTGTAACTCCATATTTCTATTGATTTGAGGTAGTGTATTCAATATAATCCTATTATCTTGCTGCTATATGTTATGTGCGGATATGTGTCTCATATGAATATCTTTTTTACACCCATACTCTTTTACTACAAGCCCAAAACATTGACGATTATATTGCTATTATTTAAAAAAAATTTATTGAGTTTATACTATATACTATAAGTCTCCCAGTTCATATTTTTATTGTAAATAATATTTCTTTCGGCGTAAATATATATATAATTCGTGGTGATATGAAAATAGTTGATTGATTAAAACAGACTGTTTAACTATAAATTTGTTCTGGGCTCATAGATCTCTTAGTTGTAAGGGTGCTTAGAAAATTATCGTCTATGCATGGAGTATGAAAAATCCAAATCACGGATAAATCTTGAAACTAATTGCGTTTATACTTTTGTTTCCTTAAAATGTAGAGCAACATTATACATACACTTGCAATCATTCATGCTCACACGCAAGTGTTATAACACAAATTATCTCAAAATTTTTCCGCTATTCGGTATTTCAACTTCATTACCAAATACGACAAGGCTGCTGACATTAGGCTTGCTAGCACTTGTAAATAATGCCCAGCAATTGTGTTATTTTGTTAGTTTTTTTTTTTACATATTATTTCTTGAATAATTTATCACATTTTAATCATTTTCACAGATTAGAAAAGAGGAGGCACATGTAACATCATGCCTTACCAAGATAGCTCAATCTATGAACACTTCTGTAAAAAATATAACATCTATGGATGGTTGAGCCCTTGGTCAGCATATGGCGAATTAACACTCTCAAAGGTAATGCGGACCACTTCTGCAGGAATGAGCAACGAACACTCATATCCAAGCGTGAACTATGTTAGAAATCTACACAATATTGCATTCCTTTTATTTTAAAGGAGGTAATACTCCTTTAACATGAAAAAGTCACCCTGTAATCTCATTTAGTAATATTTAAAAAATGGAACCTATATTCAAGCGCAAGAGTTAAATATATCCCGCGATTTGATTGTACAGGTCTTATTCACTATTGCAGAAGTGATTTTCGCTCTAAGTCTTCCTTTATTAGTTTGTACTTCGACGTAACATGTTCCCCCTCCTTAAAAACTAAACACTGCAAACTTAAACAGTACTACAAAAATTTACTATATCAATTTTGAATTTTGACACGATTACGTTATCCTTATATTATATTTAATATAAGTTTAACCACTTAATGAAATTAATTTTTAGTTAAAATAACAATTACAATGTATAAATACATTGCAAAAAGAAACTTAACATAAAATATGATTCACATCAAGATGTAATAGCCTCAACAGTTCACCAGGGGAAAAACAAACGAAACATACATTTAATAGTTAAACTAGTAACTACTTTACTACACTAGACAGCGAGAAAATCCTAAGACATGCGATATCATACAATGAATCATTATTCGTAGAAGTTGCAAAATTTTTGCAGTTCCTAAACAGTATTTTTCCATGTTAAACACGAATTTCATAACTTTGCACTGAATGTCTTGTGATTTTTACGCTTTTTTAACAATTAATTCAATATCATTCTTCCTGCTATGTTATTGATTCCATTATTTATAGCTGGAGAATATCTCAAAATAAAGCAGACCCATTGCCTACTTTCAACTTTTATGCTTAACTTACAATTTTAAATCTTGGAGCCGAAATCCATTAGTTTCTTAACCATATACATGATGAGAATCTTTGTTTTATTAAATTAAGCTCGTATGTACCCCACATATATTATTGGAATTGTTTCCTTTCATACCAATATACTATTTCTTCTTTTTGATGGAATATTTCAACTCCACAGATAAAAATTGATTTCAGACAACAGTTAAAGGTTAAAATCAGTATTAACTATAAGTATTAATTACACGACCATTAGTATGTCTTATACACAGTAATAAATTACCATCGTGCTATTTCACTTCACCATCGATGGTAGTCTTTCATTACTAGATGTTATGAGTTATAGCATTATTTAGTAAACGAGTATTAGTGGCATCTGCTGTTGTCAAGAAGAAGTTAAGTAAATTTTGTTGCACGTTACCTTAATAATTAATGTTGTATGAAATTCTGCTCTATAAGTTACTATAAAGCTGATTTAGTGGTGCCGTTTTTTTTTAAAACCTATAAATAGACAATAATATCATTTCAATGTTATAAAGGATACTAATATTTAATAATTAAATATAAAAAAGTAGAGTTTTACTTTTTTTAGCTTTTCCTTTTTTCTGAGTTTTTCTTGTTTTGGATGGTACAGATGAAGTCTCTCCGAAACTAGTAATTTCATCACCAAGAGTACCAAGAGTTGTAATCTGACGGCGTCTATGTTTTTCTTGTTTGGTAACAGGTAAACGTGTCATGTAATTTTCTTCATATTCAATCTTTCGCTTATTTTCACGCCCCAAACTGGCTTGTTTTTCAATTAACCCTTGTGCATCTTCTATCGGTGCATCTAGGTATTCTTCTTTTAATTCCCTTAACACTGCACCAGAGACTGCACGTCTGCGGGCTCTTTCACCAGCCTTACGCATCTTTTCTGCTGCTGTTTCATCTCCGTCTATAAAGCAGTGACACATAAGAGATTGATTTAGTATAATAGAAGCAATGGGAAAAATGTGCTACATTATTAAGTTTTTAATACAAACCATAGTGAACAGCAGCAAGTTTTGGTGGCACATAGATATTTGATTTTCTGATTTGAGATGATTTAAAACCATCTTCATCGCCTTCTTGATCACTATCCGACTCTTCATCAAAACTATCAATCTTAGCAATTATTGCATCAGGATCTGCTTTAAAATTAGTGGGATCATTACTGTTAGTGGTACCAGTTACTGCAGTCTTAACAAGTTTATCTATTTGATATTTAAGCTTGTTATCTATTGGTCGGATTTTTTCTAGGACTGTCCTGATTTCAATAAGGCGATCAATAGAGGGGTCACCTTCAATACGTTCACCTGAACATTTTCTTAAGACTACGTAAGTTAAATTAATAAGATAGGAAAGTAACATATGATACTTCATCTCTAAGAAACTAAGACCCTTGTCCGTTGAGATTTCTCCATTTTTTACACGCACCAACATATTATCTACAAGTTGGTTTACTTGCAGAACATTAGCATTCATTTCTCCCAACAAGCGAAAAGCCTGTGGGAGATCTCTCTGTTCCATTTCATCAATTGCCTACAAAGACAATTAATTTTATTCAATAATTAAGTAAAAATTGGCATTTAATTAATATTATAAAAATAAATACATTAAAAAACAAAATTTAAAATAATCCTTTGTACATAATGTTTCTAATATCACCAATAAAAAGAAATTTATACTGCAAAATATTATATATATATATATATACATACATATATATATATATATATATATATATATATATATATATATATATATATATATATATATATATATGTATATACGTACACATATCTTGTTATGATAAGAAACGTACTTTCATATCTCACATATGTTTGTTTACACTTTAATAAATACTTTTTCGCATTTATAACACATCACGTTTTATGTTACAAATAATCAACGTTGAAAAATTTAATTTCACTGTATGTTTATTGTAATATTCACTATATCCCACTTAAAAAATGAAAACCGCGCAAAATTTCATTCAGAAAACCATGATGTGTACTATGTTTCGAGACTTTCAGTATGAATTATTATAGTAAACACTTGGTTTTTATAAAAATGTCTGCCTTCCGAATATATGAGAAAAAAGCGCAATAATCTGCTGCCATCTTTCCTATTTACTAATGGATGACAGTGAAAAAAAAAAATAATAAAGAATTCCCAATAGAACTGACAGAAAAATGCACTCATTTAGGAATAAGAAATAAAAATTCATTAATGTAATTTGTTCAAAAGTTTGTACTTACTTGTACCATTGTTCTGCAATAAAAATTAAACGAATAAATGCATATCTAAACAACGTAACTTGTAATTAAACGAGTCCCCACGTGGGACGTTATTTTACTTTTCCTGGGTATATTTTTTCTCTTAGAAAAGCCTGGTCAAAACACCAACTGTTGTGTATTTAATTGTATAAATATTTCTTTTCTCAAATATAAATAGTTATTGAACATAGTGTAACGCTATTATAAAATATTAATTTATGAAATAAAAATTAACAAAATGTAGCATCTACTTAAATAATAAAGTGTCTTCATTCTGAATCTACTTCCTTTATCTGAGAGTATTAAAAAAATGCGGGAATTTCAATTTATACATTAAGATAATTTTTTTCATATAACTATTACAAACTTCCCTAAAGCACAAATTAAAATATGATTTATATAGTTTTAATTTTAAAGGACATATAAGATTTTAACAGAGATAAATGTAACATGAATAGGAAAATGAAATACGCTCTATTGAAGCAAAATTCTGACAGTAATACAAATATTTAATAAGGCCTATGATAAAAAATGATTATGTTTTTGATTTTTATTATCTTCGTAGTTACACATTTTTTTATATTAATGTTTAACTTTGACGATAAATTTTAGAATGATCTGTGAAATACTTATCCACTTTAATATAAATTATAAATTTTCTTTTAATATTAGTATATGTGTATAATGAGCTTTTGCTGATACTTGGCAACACTGTAATATACTAAAGGTTAGGAAAGTAACAAATCCTAGGGATTTTTTAACAAAAACATTTCTCATCGTTGCCTTACTTATCAGATGTTTCGTGAAGAACTTCAGTATAAGTAAATATCATTTTTGACGTGAAAGTGAATAGTGTGAGTGGTTAACAGCAAGTTCCAAATTTGTTGAGTGGCGTGACGCACTTTTGATAAATATAAAGTTATAGGAATGGTAGGAACAGTTTTGTGCATCGTTTCTTTTAATTAGATAACCAACTCATCTAATTATATTATCTTTATAGTAAAATATTTATATAAAATAACTTAATATATGATTAAGATAATATCTTTAATTTACGAGTTTAGTTTAATATTTGGAACTTAACAACTTCTATGCTTATTATATATCAATAAAATATTGTTATAGATTTTATTGTATTTCTAAACAAAACGAACTGATGCTTATTTAAAATTAATTATATATTCATGTGAAAAATTATATTTTCTACATGACATTGTATGTTTTATATATATATATAAATTATATTCGTAAGTGTTCGTTAATTCTTCGTTTAAATTCAAATAAGATATTATAGATCATTCTTTATTTTAACAGGGAAGAATAAAAAAGAATGTTTCTATTCTTGTGATAATATCTTTTTTAATCGAAACAAATGGCTTTTATGTACCGGGTGTTGCACCAGTTGAATTTAAGAATGGGCAAAAAATTGATGTTAAAGCAGTTAAAATGACAAGTACTCATACACAATTACCATATGAGTATTATTCGCTCAAGTTTTGTAGACCAAAGAATGGAACATTTATTTATAAATCTGAAAATTTGGGAGAAGTGTTACGTGGTGATAGGTAAGATTTAAGAATTATGTCATTTTTTTTTTCAAAATATGCTATTTTCATTTTACAATGACTTTTCTTTTTAATTTTAGAATTGTAAATACACCATATGAAGTTATGATGAAACAAGATATAAACTGTAGGTTTTTATGTCATGGACCAAACAATCCAATGACATGGAACGATGAAGAATCTCAATGTGCAATAGAACGTATTCAGCACGATTACTCAGTGCATCTGTATGATAAAGTTTATATTGTTTATATTGTGTTTATTTATGTATTTCCAATCTATTACTTCATATTTTACATTTAACATTTAGATTAATAGATAATTTGCCAGCTGCTACCAAGAAATTTGTTAAAGGAACTAATGGAGAAGTAGTTTATCATGGATATAGATTAGGAGGTGTTATAGGTGATCAAGTTTATATTAATAATCATTTGACATTAAAATTAGGATACCATGAACATGGAGAGTATGTATTTTTTATATTGTTTCTTTTTTAATTATTATTTATCTTCTAAATCAATTCATTTTTGAAATCAATTTTATATCCTTTTTCTTTAGAAATCAATTTAGAGTAGTAGAATTTGAAGTGGAAGCTCGATCAGTAGATATAAGTAAATTGAATTATGATGGAAACAAGTGTATATTACCATCTCAAACAAGTCCTCAGTTTATTAATCCTAAAGGTACTAGACTGCTATTCTTATATTCCGTGAAGTGGAAAAAATCAGATGTGAGTTGGGCAAGCAGATGGGACACATATCTAGGAATGAATGATGTTAAAATTCATTGGTTTTCTATTATAAATTCACTCATTGTAGTTTTTTTTCTATATGGTAAATGAAATTAATTTCGTTTAATATTTTATTTGATAACTTAATAACTTATTATTTGAAACATAATATTCGTTTATAGTGCTCAAATAATTTATTTACAGGTATTTTTATTACGATCATGGTAAGGACTCTTAAAAGAGATATAGCTCGTTATAATGCAGGTGATAATGATAGTCTAGCTGGCTTAGACGAAAGCATTGAAGAAACTGGTTGGAAATTAGTTCATGGAGATGTTTTTAGACCACCTCCTAATTCACGTTTGTTTGCTGCTGTAATAGGCAATGGCATTCAAATATTTTTTATGGCACTTATTACAATATGTAAGATAAAGATATATTTACTTTAGAGATTCTATTTGAATATTTTTATTGCAGAATTTATATAAACACTTAATAATTGTTATTTATTTACAGTTTTTGCCATGCTTGGAATGCTTTCACCAGCAAGTAGAGGAGCATTAGGAACTTGTGCTATATTTTTATTTGTATTCTCTGGATCAATTGCTGGATATTTTTCTGCACGTTTGTATAAAACTATGCGAGGACGAGAATGGAGAAAAGCTGCGTTATTGGTAAGTTAATAATAAATTTGAAAAAGTTAGTAATATAGTTTTAAAATAATCAGTAATATGATATAATTTATTTTATTGACAAATTACTGTAATAATATATTAAAATAAAACTGAAATTTGTAGACAGCAACACTTTATCCTGGTATAGTATTTACTACATGTTTTTTTCTAAACTTCTTCATATGGGGAAAACACAGTTCAGGAGCAGTTCCATTTACCACTATGTTAGCATTGCTTTGCCTATGGTTTGGCATTTCACTTCCCTTAGTATATCTTGGATATTTCTTTGGTTATCGTAAACATCCGTTTACACATCCTGTTAGAACAAACCAAATTCCTAGACAAATTCCAGATCAGTTATGGTATATGAATCCAATATTTTGGTAAGTATTTTTACATATTTTATATTAAAACTATGTGTTTGATGTTAATTTATATAAAAGATTTTCATACAATTTCCTGAATTTTTCAGTACATTGATGGCTGGCATACTACCATTTGGTGTTGTCTTCATAGAATTGTTTTTTATTTTGACAGCACTATGGGAAAATCAATTTTATTATCTTTTTGGATTTTTATTTTTAGTATTTTGTATTCTTGTCATTTCTTGCTCTCAAATATCTGTAGTTATGGTGTATTTGCAACTATGTGCAGAAGTATGTATTATAACATATTTAATACTATTTATATTTATATTTTTAATCAATAATAAATCATAATATTTATTTAATTACAGGATTACAGATGGTGGTGGAGAAGTTTTATAGTTAGTGGAGGATCAGCTGTATATATGTTAGCATATTCAATTTTTTACTTTATGACCAAATTAGAAATAACAGAATTGGTTCCAACGCTGATGTATTTTGCATATACAGCATTAATGGTGCTTACATTTTGGTTGTTAACTGGTACAATTGGCTTCTTTGCTGCATATGCTTTCATTCGCAAAATATATGCAGCAGTTAAATAGACTAGTCATAGTTGTCATAAATGAACTCAGTGAATGATGTGCGAATGTAACCTTATCTATTAGTTTATGGTGAGTGTTAGAATATTTTTTAATTGTGAGATTAAGATGAAAGCAGTGTGTGTACTTGTTAAATTATTAAACAAAATAAGAGTTTTAATAAAATCTACAAATACATATTATGTACGTATGTATGTATACAGACGTAATCATACATATAACACAATATTTACATACATAATACAAAATACTAGTAATAAATTATAAAAAATTATAAATAGTTTAAATAACATGCATTGTATGTATATGAATCCATAATATTATTTTCAGTGTAGAAATGAACAAATTTTTTCATGCATCACAAAATTATTATAGAAGTATTATGTTTCCGTTGTGAATCTGAATTGTTGATAATTATTATACCTTTTAGTCCTTGTTTTTTAATATGGTAGAAGTACTTGGAATGCAAGCAGATAGATTATTATTTGTCTATTTTAAATTATGAAGATTAAAAAAAATGAATTGGTTATTATTTATTATAATGTAAATTGGATAAATATGATTTGTTTTTTTAATAGTAATTTTATAAACGCTGTGTATATTTTTAATATTGGCATAGCAAACAATTTCAATTATTATTTTACATTAATGTAATTTATATAATGATCTTCTTTATTACAATTATATACATTTTTATTCACAATATAGTTGTTACATTTTATAAATGTGACTTTATACATTTAATAATGTTTTGTATTATGATATAAATAATGTAAATAACATATCTGCTCATGACATGTATTCATTTATAATGTCTTTTTAATACTATTAGTGATATTCATATCTTATTAAACAATGTGTAGATAAAATTACCTTTATTTGTATTTTACTTAAAATATGCAAACAATGAGACTATACATGTGTAGGAACATATGTGAGATTAGATTATTACCGTGATTTCATCTTCAAAAATACAATTGATATTATTTTGGGAATATATTTTATAATTAAATATACGAAAATACCTACTATATTTATGATATATATTAAAATCACAGTAGATTCTACCGGCATGTAACACTTTGATACAGAAAAATTATTTGGAGTAAATACACCCTAAAATAAAACTTTATATAACTCTTGCAGAGAAATTATACATTTAAAAATAAATTAAAAAGCTTACTAATAAGAAAGATGGGTTATTGATATTTCTCCAGCTAAAAGAAGGGATTGTAAATTCCAAGATATCATCTTTATGTATTCTTCTGCAACCATAGTGAGTGTGACCATCAACAACCAGTCTTGGATTTAAAATATCTAAAAGCTTTAAATTTATCTATTTTATATACTTCAAAATAAAACGAATAAAATTTAGAATAATTTATTTACTTGTTTAGATGCTTCCTTTGATAAACACTCCCACCGTTCACGAAATTGTAAGCTTTTTAGTTCACGTGGTGCTTCATCAGGTTCATTACATATTTCATCAGATACACGGTACAATGGATAATGCTGTAATAAACAGAACAAAATATATATATAATTTCATATGGATATTAATTTTATTTATATGTTGACATATATATAAATAATATAAACCTGAAGAAGAATAGGACGACTGTATATGGATAATTTATCTTTGCTCTTAGTGCAATTATTATCTATTCCTTTTGCACATTGTAATTGTTCTGAAAAAGAAGTATTTGTTTTACAAATTTACTAATAATTAAAATATTATATATAATTTTATATATAATATTTTATAAAAATTTACCAGCAATTTTATTTATCGCAATTTCTGTAGACTTGCATAGAAAACAACTATCTCCTTCTAATGCCATACTATTGATCAAGATGAAATGATTACCATTACTACTGATTCTTCTAACACTGGGTGCTTTCATTTTATTTACAAATCTTTGATTTGTATAAGGTGTTATGGCTAAATAAATTTTTGTTTATTTGAGCCAAGATACTAATATATGTCTAAAAAATAATTATTTTAAATGATTAACAGCAAATGTGATTATTAAAAATACCATAGTGAAATCCTATGTCATGATTTCCAGCCATTGTATAAAGGCGAACACCATCTGGTACGGAAAACAGAGAGTGAAATCTTGATACATAATTATCAAATTCCTTATCATTAGACCAATCACCTTCATCAAATATATCACCTATAATATTTAATAATAATTAAATATGAGCTAATTCGACATTTGCCAAAATGATTAACTCCATAAAACAAAAAGTAAAGAAAATTAATAAAATTACGTACATTGTTATATCATTTATTGCTCAACAGTTATACAAAATTTTGTTATTTAGTGGTGTTAAGCTCATTATTAAAAAAATTGTTGTTATTACTTTCCCTTTTATGGATTTGAAAAACTTCTCTATAACACCTTCTCAATTCAATCCACTTTTCACAGTATGCAGTGTTCTGAAGTGTTTACCCAACCAAGTACTAATTGTGTGCATCATTGCTTAATTATAGTGATAATATGGAAACTAGTTTTTTTAAGAAAACTAAATCATTTACTCCATTATTAAAGAAATTAATTTTAAACATAAGAAATTAAACATTAATTAAGTGTTTTGAGATTAAAATTTAAAAAGATGATGAAAGTGGAGTTAATCTCTTTGGCCTATAAATGACTTATATAGAACTTGATTATTGGATACTAGTATATACTTTTACATACCTAAAATAAAAATTATATTTGGTTTATGAATTGCTATAGCTGTTTGAAATGCTCTATACATTTGCCATTCTCTGAAAATATTATTTACTTGTATTGAATCAAATGAATTTGTAATATCAAATACCAATCAACAATTGATAATAATAATTAGTATGACAATTAAAAAAGCAATTTATATTTGTTAACAATTTATGAAATGTTTAAATTAAATTATGATAATAAATATATTTATTTATACCTTCTCAACTTATCAAACCAGTGGCCTTTTTTAGGACCAAGTAAATGAGTATCAGAAATGAACATAGCTCGTACAGAATTTTCATTAAACTTTGATGAATCAACAGATGAAACAGCCTTACGTGGGTCTAAAGATGGCCAATTACACTAATTTATAAAAATTACTTAATTTAATTGCAATATATATATATATATATATATATATAGCAACTAAAAGTCTATGTCATGTAAAATGGTTTTACTAACCTGTGTAAGTACTATGTAATATATAAGATATTCACAAAAAAACAACACAGAAACAGAAAGTAACGCAAATATAAATAAGTAATTATTGTAGAAACGTTTTCTTGGTATATACATGTTTTATTAAGTTATGTATAAAAAGGTTTTATAAACTTGAATAATTTATTTAATAATTTAACTTTCTGTGTATCCAAGTCTTCAGAAATCTACGTATGAGCGATAGTATTAAAAAGAATTCTTATATTTAAAAGAAAAATTATTATTTACAAAATATTTACCTATTGTTTATACATTATAAATGATTAACCTACTTCTTATCACTACACATTGTTTGTCACTTTGAAAATCAACTTTAAATATATCCTCTGCAGGTATACCAACTTTACTTTCATTTTTTTCAAAGTGCGCTTGCGCTTTGATTTTGTGGTTGCGCATGCGTATAACATATCTCCCACTCATGATGCCGCCATTCTATAATTATTCAAAGTGTAATAATTATTTTCAACTAATTAACAATAAATAAAAAATATTTGATAAAATAAAGTTGAGGAGCCGGACAAACAAAAAGTCAGCAATTGATTGAAAACAAAAAACAATAGGAAACTTCATTGCTTTGCTTAGAAATGAGAAAAAACGTTTTTGTATATTCAATTATTAATAACTAATTAAATAATTAATTAATAAAATGTGCAATTATAGATTTTAAATATACAATTAATGTGCAATTAAGAATACTTATTCCTTTTTTTCTGCTGTTGAGGTTTTATGCCAACTTTTCTGCGGTACTTTCTTGTTATAATTAGCCCTAAGGATAAGAATGGTATTTCGGTTATCGGCCAATTTCGAAATACCTTGAACCGTATCTCTAATTGTATATGTTATTACTTCTCGGTGGGTTATCTTTAGATTTGAAAAGCAAATATTTCTTTATCGGTTGTACAATTTTTGAAGATTACGTGTTGGTTTTAGTTTTCTATAGGGTTGATTTGTTTCGTACTTTGTACCCATCAGGTCTATTGCTTGCTAGTGTCATTTTTTTATGAATGTGAATAATAGTAGTTAAATTATTCAATCTAGTATATATAAAATTCAAAAAAATGGCAAGTTGTAGAATATTTGGAGCACTTATGCGTTTTTCACATAAAAAAATTCATTTAACAAAATCAGGTAATTATGAAAATTGGAATATTTTTTTGTTCGTTTGACTTAACAAATGAATAAATAAATAATAATTGCCAATATTGTTGCATAAACTTGTTTCTACTTATTTCTATATATTATGTATCTGTATTTGAAATTAAATTTAATATATATTTAATACTTCTATATATAGCAATAGTACAACCATTGAGGATACTTACAAGTATAACAGGCAAAAAGCATTTCAAATGTAAAGTTGTTGATGATGTTGCAGTTATTACTTTAGATTCTCCAGGAACTAAGGTACAATATTATATTTTATACTTTTTTTTAGAATTTATTTAAATATTTATATAAAATATTAAAGGTATATATACAATATAACTGTGAATACTAAAATTATTTAGAATATGATCAATTTTAATGAAGATTAGATTAATATTAATATTAGTATTATAATTTCTTAATCTTAAATGTATTAATAATTTAGTAATCTTTTATAGGTGAACACATTAAATTCAGAAGTAATGGAAGAAATAATTGGTGTTCTGGACGATATAAAAACCAACACAGCTGTCAAGTCTGCTGTCTTAATAAGCGGAAAACCAGGTAGTTTTATTGCAGGTGCAGATTTGACTATGTTACAAAAGTGCCAAACTGAAAAAGATGGTTATGATATTTCAAAGACTGGTCAACGAATTTTAAATAATATAGCAGAAAGTAAAAAGCCTATTGTAGCAGCTATTCAAGGAGGTTGTCTTGGTGGTGGTTTAGAGGTATATTTTAAGTAGTTTTTTTTTAATAAATAGAAAAAATATTGATGTTGTAAACATTTATTTTAAATTATTTTTGCGCTTATTTATTTTTTGTTTTCATATAGGTTGCATTGGCATGTCACTATCGAATTGCTGTTAATGACACCAAAACTGGTCTAGGCTTACCAGAAGTAATGGTTGGCCTTCTTCCGGGTGCAGGAGGTACACAACGGTTACCTAAACTTATTTCAGTTCCAAATGTGCTTGATATGGTTCTTACTGGCAAAACTCTTAAAGCGAAGAAAGCTAAATCAGTTGGATTAGTTGACATGCTGGTTAACAGTCTTGGTCCAGGTTTAACATCACCAGAAGAAAAGTATGTTGAAAACGATCTAAAAGTCATAAAAGATATATGCACACATTTTTTAATACACATGATATAAACTTAACATATAATATGAATGACTATATTTTTTTTAATACAGTACTTTACACTATTTGGAAGAAATTGCTATAAGAACTGCTAAAGATATAGTAAATGGAAATTTGAAAGTTGATTGTAATCCAAGGACAATACAAGATAAAGTTCTAAATTATGCCCTAACTTTTGAATTCGTAAAAAATCAAATATTTAACAGGGCAAAAGCACAAGTTATGAAAATGACAGGAGGACTTTATCCTGCCCCTTTAAAAATTTTAGAAGTAGTTCGTACGGGTTTAGATAAAGGACCAGTTGTAGGTTATGAGGCAGAAGCTAAGGCTTTCGGTCAATTAGCAATTACCCCACAGTGTAAAGGTCTTACAAGTCTCTTTTTTGGGCAGACAGCTTGCAAAAGAAATCGTTTTGGAGTACCAAAGAATGCTGTCAAGTACGTCTTTATTTTATAAATCAATCTATGAATTTCATATTTATGAAAATAATGTTTATTATATATATATACAGAAAGATATCCATTATTGGTGCTGGTTTAATGGGTGCAGGTATTGCACAAGTAAGTATTGACAAAGGATATCATGTTGTTTTGAAAGATACTAATGAAGCTGGATTATTCCGTGGAGTGGGTCAAATTCAGAAAGGTTTTGATAATGCTGTAAAAAGACATCGTTTTTCCAAGTATGTATAAATATAAATAATGTTTCATAATAAGAATTTTAAAATATAACTTATATATTTCAGAATACAAAAAGATAAATATTTGGCTAATCTTGAGCCCACGTTACAGTATGATTTATTCAAAAATACAGATCTAGTTATTGAAGCAGTATTTGAAGATATTGCTATTAAACATAAAGTCATCAAAGAAATTGAGGCACATGCTCCAGAATATTGTATTATTGCAACAAATACATCTGCGATTCCTATAGCAAAAATTGCTGCTGGAAGTAGTCGTCCAGAAAAAGTACACTTATTATTATTATAAAATATTTAAATGCTTATTTATTCAATATTTAACAGTACATTTATGATGTGTAGGTGATTGGTATGCATTACTTCTCACCAGTAGACAAGATGCAGTTATTGGAAATAATTACTCATAAAGATACAGCAGATGAAACTATAAAAACAGCTGTAGAAGTTGGTTTAAAACAAGGCAAAACTGTTATCACAGTTGGAGATGGGCCTGGATTTTATACCACAAGAATACTCTCTGCCATGATTTCAGAAGCGATTAGATTGATGCAGGTGAAGAAATGTTATTATTTGATTAATTACATTAAAATTACATTAACAAATGTATATTAATTATTAATAATATTAATATAAATAATATAATATTTGGATATAGGAAGGTGTTGATCCCGTAGTTTTGGACAACTTAACCAAATCATTTGGATTTCCTGTAGGAGCAGCAACTTTATCTGATGAAGTTGGTATCGACGTTGGAGCACATATTAGTGTAGATTTAGGAAAAGCTTTGGGTGAACGTTTTTCAGGAGGAAACGAGAATATTATGTCAGATATGGTCAAGGCTGGCTTTCTTGGTAATTACTTATATTTGTTTATTGATATCTTATTGCTAATGTATCAACTTATTAAATCCTTATCCTTTTATAACTAGGCCGCAAATCGGGCAAAGGTATATTCATATATGAAAAGAATACAAAAAATAAAGACGTTAATTTGGAAGCATTAAATATTTTAAAAAAATATGCAATTCAACCTAAAGGAAGTACTTCCTCTGAAGATCGTCAAATGAGAATGGTGTCTAGATTTGTCAACGAAGCGGTACTTTGCTTAGAGGATAATATCTTAGCAAATCCTGTAAGTAATTTTAATCATGTATGAGAGATCACTTGTTTTACAGTACGTATAATATACACGTACTGTAACGTATAATTTTAATCATTTTTAGTTGGAAGGTGATGTTGGAGCTGTCTTTGGATTAGGTTTTCCACCGTTTACTGGAGGACCTTTCAGGTGGGTAGATTCATATGGGGCACACAGATTGGTGAAAATTATGGAAGAATTTCAAAGTCACTATGGCCTTGCTTTTAAACCGTGCCAAATGTTATACGATATGGCATCTGATTCAACGAAAAAATTTTATAAATAACAGGAAAATGTCCAATACTTTTAACATCTATTTAAAATGAAGTATACGAGCATTTATTTTATAAATAAGCATTATACTATGGTAAACAATGAGATTTTCAATATGTTTTAACATTATAGTTGCTATCTGATTTTAAAACAATGCAATTTATACTGTTATATAGTTTATAAGATGTTTTATAATTTTTTATATAATCATATACAGAATGGTAATAAAAGGGTCCGATATTTTAAGAACTTATAGTTCTTATCAATAGGACTAAAAAATGTTTAATTAATATGGATCCTAAAATCAATTTTTCGATGTAAATTAACTTTTATTATTTATGAGTGCTTAATATCATAAGCAAGTTTTTACGCAACATATTAAATTTACACAGAAGAATTTACTTAGAAATATTTTAATTTAAGGTTGTCAAGATAACTTTATTATGAAAATAAGCAAAGACTATTACTATATCAACAAATATTACTTCGTAGACATTATAATATCGAATGCTCTTAAATAATAAAAGTTAACTTATATCGAAAGGGTTAATTTCAGGACCTATGTTAATTAGACATTTTTTACTCCTCTCGGCGAATACCACAAGCCCTTCAAATATTGAACCCTTTTCTTTACCACCCTGTATATATTGTTATATCTATATGTATATATATATATATACCATAATGTATAATAAGCTTATTTTTGTAGAAATTTGATAAAATGTATACACATGTATGTGTCGAAAATAAATACATTATGAAAGATAATGTTATTATTTTACTATATAATCATTTAAGAATGTGATTATTGATTGCATTCACTACCAGTATCCTATAAATATTCTATGCTTGTGCAAATGCGAATTAATTCTTAATCGTGTAAGTAGCAATATCAATAAACCTGTTTTGTGTATATTTTTTATTTGCTCAATATGAATATACATAGGTAAAGACGGAAATATAATTTGATGCAACATCAGAAGAGTATTGCACTTTCCTTTTCATGCATAATTAAATACATGTTGTTAAAGACAAAAAGATAGTTTATTTATATTATAGAAGAGCCAATTTGTTTTTTTTTTTTATTTATCCTTCGCATAAAAATTACAATTTTAGATGCTAATTTGTATATTTATAACAGAATATAATGTGATATTCAATTTCAATACCTTCGTCAAGTGATTATGTTAACTTTCGTATGTGTTTCCTTAGACATATAAAAAATCTGTTAATTCCACGAACATCAGTTGTTTACTGCTTACATAGATTCTTTTTCGTTAGAATTAACAATTATAAAAAAATATCTTAACATAAAAAAAAAGAAAAAAAAATATGTACAGGTAATAGGTAAGATATTTTGCATCATCTACAAGTTTTCTGTGTCTGTTTATAATATATATGACGTTAAAAGAAACCAAGTCCTTGGCTGATGCAAGAAAGCAGGAGATTTCACGATATACCTTTGATAAGATTTCTCTCATTGGACCGGTAAATCACTACCCTATTCTAATAAACTAAAGAAAATCAAGAATAAAATATAGATTTAACGACTATCAAAGATTCCGAAGTCTAGAATTTATCGATTCTCTTTTATCGTTACGTTGCTCTCCAAGCTTTTATAAGAAGATAAGAGATCTGTAATTATTAATGACAGAGTATATAATTTACAGGTATATACAATTAATTAGCTTTGGAAGACAATAACAAAATATAATAACTATGATTCTTCGTCGTTTAATAAAAATTCTAAAATATGAGAAAGCATCGAAATGAAGAAAATACTTTTAGAAATTTCTACAAAAATCTGACATGAAGTGATATGACTTATGAAATTACGATATGATCAATAGATTTAGCACGTATTCATACTTGTTATCACACCATCGTATGATAACATTCTATTGACATTGTTTAAAGTCTGGAGACACAAGTGATTAAGGAACTATAGCGGGAATAGATGTGATCACGTATCAATGAAAAAACGTTGACTTTCGTACTACCTTATGTTTATATTTGCGATTAAATGCTATTAATAATATACTGTTATTCCGAATATCTACAATTAAATTTAACTAATATTACGTATTATGTAATATTATCGAACGATTTTATCAGTGTTATTTATTAATATGCACAAATATATACGCAACAACTTATCATGAGCTTAAAGTATGATAACGATACTTTTATATTTGTTCATATTTATAATAAGGAGTTTATTTTTAATAATAAAATAAAAAAAGAACAAAAACACAACAAAAAAACAAAAATTTTATGCAAAATATGTGTATATACATATATAAGGAGAAAGTTTCTATTTGAAATATTAAATTCATTTGAAACTTGTGTTTCGTGCGTGTAATATATTTACATTTCTCAATGTATCGAGTCGTAAAAGAGAATGATTATATAATTTTGTACTTGTCTAATTTAGTCATTTTTCGGAATACATTTTAAATTAAAGCCATATGGATATTAATTGACCGTGCCCGATATCTTGAAAAATACCTAACCATTCCCACGCATTAAAATCGTCGGCCGTTCATATAATGCGTGATGGAAACTTTTCGTGATCGATACAAAATATAAGAAAATCATCTTTCTACGGTAAATTTTTTCATGAATTATCGCTGAATGCCATAAATATACTGAGCATATTTCCTATTCATGATACATACGTCTAATATTAACATATTAAATATTTATTATATGCAATGTAAATATATGGTGAGGGGATCTTATGGGTTTTTCTTTTGTTGTTTTTATGTTACTGAAATTGTGAAGATATTGGATTGTCTGGAAAGATTAAAACAATTAATAATAAAATACTGTAAAATATCGTTTTAACATTTTTACTAAAAAATAAGAAAGAAGACAATAATCTATTGAGTGGGAAGAAATAGGATAAAGTGGAGTGAAAAGAAAGATGTATGTCAACAACATTGATTTATGAAAGTATAGAAGTTATTTAATTCATTTCCATTTTTGTATAAAAATTCTTTATCTGTACATTAAAGAAGTCTTATCTTGTTGCAAGGAAAATAATATTTTCACCTTCTCCTTGAACGATAATATATAATCTATATAACTCTAATGTCTACCGACGATCTCATTAGAAAATCGTTAACAAAATTGTAATATTAGCATAGCTCGTTAACATATCCGTTACTTATATGAATTGTTTAAATCGTTTGTCTCCTTTAAATAAATACTCTTTATTTCACGATCAGTCAAAGACGAACGATCACAGATCACAGACACACTTAGGTACTTGGTTTAATCCTTCCTACCTCTCCTTTCTCTCTTTATCTTTTTCATACTTTTGTCATTAAGTACATCTTCTCACATTATAATTCCTTCATAAAGGAAAGATTTTTAGAAGCATCACAGGAAGATTATCCGACAAGAATTTTCAATGTCGAATTAGAATTAAGAAGATATCCAAAAGGTTACCGTTACCTGCAAACAGCTTCTATCTGTGGGACAAGAAGGAAACGAATTTCCGGCGTTCCTTTTTCCCCTTGATTCTTTTAGTTGAAAAATATATTTCGATAAAATATCAATCTTGCTGCGGTCACGCTGCAAGTTGTGGTGGTAAAATTTGATGAGTCGGTGGTGTTATCCTTGGCGCGATAACAGGCAAGATACTAAGCCTAACACCAGATGCCGTTTGTATTTGATTACTACCATTGCTATTGGAAGATGAGGAAGAAGTCCTTTCTCTGGTATGACGTTTCACGTGTTTGGCCAAGTGATCGCTCCTCATGAATCTTCTTTGACAAATTGTGCAAGCAAATTTCTTTTCTCCTGTATGAGTTCTTTTATGCCTGGAGAGTTCATCGCTGCGCGAGAAACGTCTGTTGCAGTCCTCGTATGGACAGGGAAAGGGTCGTTCTCCGGTATGCGTACGCGTGTGCGCCTTCAAATGAGAAGACTTAAAATAATTTTTTCCGCATCCGGGATGTTCACATTCGTAGACACGTCTTCGCGCTGCTGACTCATTACATTGAACGTTTCCTTTTGTTCCTACGGTATTAATTCGGCCTGGTGTGCTCGCTGTGACCAACAATAATGGAGTCTGTGGTAGAACTAATGATGATCCTAAAATTCTGGTTACCACAATCGGTGCTGGTTTGGGTGCAAGTGGTTGCAACTTGGCTTGACCGATTTCACGATCTGTATTCTTATTATTCACAATAATCTCTTCTTTTTTTAAACTCATTTTAAACTTGAGACTTTTCAAGACGTTTTCTTCCAAGCTACCGTTCGAACGCACGTCCGAGCTCTTACTGTTGCTTTCAACAGTACGCTGTCTTGTACTCGGTACCCATTCGGACGGGCACGAATCAGTCAGTTTCGTAGGTATACTGGCTGGACTACAAGTTCCGTCACGATTGGCGCGCATTATGACTGATACTCGAGTTGCCTCGGGACTGGGTGGTGGTGTTCCATAAAGGAGTAACTGTAAGAATACAAGTTTATTTTAGAGAACATCATTTCTTTGCGTATATTCAAAGTTCAAATGAACGTTTGGAAGTCAAAAGATAATATTGGTATATTTATTTATACTTATTTACCTTGGCTAATTCGCATTGTTCAACGTAACGTCGTTTCCGCGGAGGCTCGTCTTCTTCGGAATCGGAAGGCTGAGGGGTAAGAGGCAAATTTGGTTGTGGATTTTCATGATTGCGCTTTGTCGCATTTGCTTCGGTTGCCACCGTCATAGCCGCCTGCTCTGCCGCCTTCGCCACCTCCGCCTTTGCGGTCATCGTCGTCTTTTGCAATAGCTTGTCTCCTAACAAAGCTGCGACACTGAATGACGACTGTAGTGGCTCGATCTGTAAAAATAAATAGGAATATCAGTTATCATTTTTTATGAGTTATTTCGAAAAAATGTTCTTCTTTTTATCGACGAAGAGAAAAATGATAAACAAAATTTGTATTTGCATTTTGTACTACAGTTCTTTCTGTATAGTAAAAAGAAAGAAATTCCCGGATATCTTAAGTTTGTTTTTTCTTATATAGCAGGGTTAGTAGCGGAACATTCAAGTTTGAAAGAGAGATAAGCAGACGCAGGATAAAAATATAAAGTTCTATCGAAATACATAAAAGTTAATAAAAATATCAACGGAGTAGGAATAAATATAAATTAATGAAATTCGTGTTAGTACGATTCGAGATCGTAGTAATGAAAATTTGTATTATTACGCAGCACACCGAAAATGTATCGCAGAAACAACACATTCATATTTCGCGGGCGTCGGTCGATAGATTATACGCGGTACATTTAATTTTGCTTAGACTTACGTGCTTAAACTGGGGCGAAGCTGGTGGAGATAGTAGAGTTTGATTTGCATCCATTTTATCGTAGTTTAAATTATAATAAAGTTCAAAATTCACGCAAAGTTTCTTCTTGATTGCACCAATGTTTCCACATTTACGGAAACGCAGTGGGCTTACGTCGTGAAAATCGAAGTACAAATTCGATCTAACGGACGTCTGGTAGTGTAATGAAGCTTTCTCAGGTCGGCAGTCCCGACGTGCGCCCAGTTAGTTGCGTCTGATCATGTGGCCGTGTAGTTTGTTAGCCAATAATATGGAGGGGCTCGCCGTACTCAACCAATCCTGTAGGACTAGATCAGTCGTTCAACGCGTGATCACAGGCGTGTTGTTCACGTGTTCGCGACCTGACTGAGGCCGTGATCATGACGTCACACTGCGTGCGCGCACGTTCGATACGTCATGTCGTCACAACGCGCCCCGAATGCCCCAACACTTCAAGCGTCCTGTAACTTCGACCCTCTTCCTACTCCTCCCTCTTATTTGTTCATATAAATTCACTCACGCACTTGCACACACCCACGCGTTCCCTCTCTTTCTTTTGCTTCGATTTTCTTGTATTTACGTTTCTTCTCATCTTGTTGTGCAGCGAACGAGATCTACGGCGAGCCTCCAAATTGTCGACGGCACCAATTCTTTCCTCACATTCTCTATTTATTTTTTTATATAGATAGATTTATTTTTACTCTGACTTTGAGAACTGACAATAAGTTTACTTTCTTTCTTCTTAATTTATTTATCAAAAAATCATTATATTATTCTATCTATTGAATGCTTTTTTATTTATCTTATTGTGCAAGAAGAGAATCTTAAATAGAATTGTTGTAGCTGTTTCGATCTCAAATTCTGATAAGAGGAGAATCGTTCATATCGCAAAAGTTTCTGTACTTACTCGCAAATATGATTTTATTTGTACGAGATTTCTGTCTAATCTGATAATATCTGAAAAATAATATTTCTTGGAAATATACGATTAATATTTGTAAAATTTACTTTTATCTTTGTCACAAATATTAACAAGAACGATTTTTCAGAGAAATGGTTTTTTCCCCGGTTATATATAATATATTCCAAATAGATGGTAATACAGTTTATACAGATTATAATATATACGTATGAGCTATTTTTAGAAGTATTAGTATTTTTATTTTATTAGTAAATTATAAAGATATAACTGTAGTAAATACTTTATCAGCTTAAAGCATATGGTAAAGAACTATGTTTACCAATGCAACATCAAACCGCATTTAATCGATCAAAATTTATGCGTCGATGATAAATAAGAGAACAATTTTATCGACTGACAAACTTGTTATATATTATATACAATGATCACTCTTTTCTATGTTTATTTTCTTCAACAAAAGATTAATCGAAATATTTGTTTGTATATACAAAGATATAATTTATAATATATTGATTATGTTTCGATTTCTCCTATGTATATCTGTTTGTCACTTGACCCAGAGCACACTGAAATATATAATAAATTGTTTACATGATCCTATTTATCGTTAAACTTGTATTTAAAAGTTATGGTCGAACAGTATATTACCTATTGGCTCCTTTGGATGAAAATCAACATCATTAACAGAACCATTATGTCCAGGTAATTTATATAATATTCTACGACTAGTCGTATCCCAAATGTATTGAAATCTGTCTGATGAACCAGCTGATACTTTACTACCATCTGGAGACCATGCACATCTCTGAAGATTCTATAAATCAATATTGTAATTAAGCAAATTTTAATATTCTATTAACTACATATTATTTATACTTTTAATGTTATACCTTCTCAAAATTATGTTGATGACCAGAAAGAATTTTCACGCAACGTTCGTATGGAGCAAAAGGTCTTACATCCCATATTCTTAATGTATTATCCATAGCATTTGATAAAATATATGAACCATCAGGGCTAAGACTTAAGCCAGTAATAGTCTCGGAATGTCCTTTTAATTTATAAAGAATTGCATTTTTTCTTAAATCCCATACTTTGATATCATTGTCAATACCACCGCTTATTACTTGTTCTGCAGTATCATTAAATGTGACTGAAGTTACCTATATACAATGCAAAACAAGTTTTACAAATAATATATAATCTCTCTTAACACGTGTGCCATGCGAATTTATAAGGAAATCACTTTTAGGCCACACGCACTGCTTAGAAATGAAAAATAGTAGAGTCAAACTAGAGAAAACAATGATTGGATGTGGCATTCAACATGTTAAATAATAAATAGGTTCTAATAAACAAACCTGATATGTATTATTTAATGTATAACACTGTCCTCTTTTTCTTGGATCCCAAACACGTATTGTACTATCATCGCTACCTGAGCACAACTGTGTAGGTCCTCTTCTAGCTCCAGCCACAGAATTGACAAAAGAAGTATGTCCTTTTAATTTTTTTATTCTTGTGCCTACCACTATATCCCATAAACCTAAAGTCATATCAGTACTAGCCGTATACAAATTGCTTCCATCAGGACTAAAATGCAATTCCATTACAGCTCCACTATGACCAGTCATTATAGAGATGTTTTCGCATTCTCCATAAACATTCCAAATAACTGTACAATGAAGAGAAATAAAGTAGTATTGGAGAATTAAGTTAATTAAATACATTCTAATATTTATACACAACAAAAACACAATAAATATAGAGTGTGTGTATGGAACTTATTAAAGTAAAGGTGTCATTTAAATTTGTTTTTGTTATTATGATAACAAAATTATAATATTGCCAGCAATTCTGGCAGTTAGAGTGCAAAGAGTTAATTTGAGTATAATATGGTTATATTTATAAGATTATAATTTGTAGATATTTATGTGTAATGTGTAATTTGGTATATTTACAGATTTGCCGATCAAATCCAGTCGATGCAAGATACTGGCCCTCTGGATGAAATTCAAGGGAAAATATATCACCTTGATGTCCTTCCAGGAGCATGATAGGAGCCATTAATGATGATGTTCGTGGTGGACCCTTAAAATTGCATAATAAGGCATATAATAAGATATTTAACGATTGTCTAAGTAAATCAACTAAGAAAACATTAGAATATTGGATACTAAAACTAAACTTACACTCTGTACAACTGCTTTTTCTCTACTGCTGAAGACGACTTCATTCTTTGTTCTTTTTGAAGCAGGAACTAACGCTAAGATATCGTCACCTTTTCGTTTATCTAAAATAGGCATTTTGATTTTTTATGCGTCCTTTTGATGAATAATTACGTTAGTTTTGTTAAAGCTTCTGTTACAACTTTAATTAACGTTTTTAATAAATACTCTCTTAACTTTCTTTTGCGTTATTTACGGTTAAAGTCTGTAAAACACTGCCACTAGTTGTGAGTCGAATATTCTGCATAGTAATGCCGATAGATGGCGTCACACAATCGGCCCGCCATCTACTGTTAGAAACTAACGCTCATTTTGTCTATCATAAATCCATAAGCAACGCGTACAAAATACATAAAATATACAAGTTTAATTATAACTGTTTTAATACTGTTTTATGTTAATAAATATTGAGGAGCCGGATAAACAAAAAGTCAGCAATTGATTGAAAACAAAAAAACAATAGAAAACTTCATTGCTTTGATTAGAAATGAGAAAAAACGTTTTTGTATTTTCGATTATTAATAACTAATTAAATAATTAATTAATAAAATGTGCAATTATAGATTTTATATATACAATTAATGTGCAATTAAGAGTACTTATTCCTTTTTTCTGCTGTTCAGGTTCTATGCCAACTTTTCTGCGGTAGAATCTTGGTCTTCGACAGTTAATGGCGCGACAATTGTCAAACACCATTTACCGATGTCACTATGTAAGATAATCAATTTACGGCTATCGGCAACGTGCTTAAAAACTTTATTCTTAGGTAAGTGCAATGCAAAGAAAGTTTAGTATCAGTTGAGCAGAAATCGCATAGTAAAAAGTATGCAGTAAAGGAGAGTTGAATAAAATACAATTTTATCCAAGACACTTCCTGACGCATTTCTTTAGAACAATGCATGTTCTGTTATATATGGTGAATGCAGAAAATATTTGTACGCCAATTAATTTTATAAATAAGAGATTTATGAAATTGTTGTTTATTAACTAATTTTTTTAAACTATTTAATGGTAAGCACTAAAGGAGGGTGTACGGTATGTTATATACGTGATATATATTATAACATACAATCATCCCTCGAAGATAACGCGATAGGTGGGAACGACAAAAATCGCTTGAATCGAATTCGTGTAAGTCGGTGTAAAACTTTTGCAGTAAGTAGTACTGTTGATAAACATATCACATTATTACTTCGTAAGCATGATGAATATCGTTGGTATGTTAAGAAACACATACGAGTAAATCTCTGAAGAAGAATTACTTGTTAATGCTTAATACTCCTTTACATATTAATTAAAACCAATCATTTTTGTCGATTTGGATTGTTTGTTTTCGGCATGATCAAACGATCGAAGGGATTTACAATTTATTTACTACTTACATTAGAGAAGTTCTGCGATGGCTCCAAAACACACCTACTTTATTGCAGCTGTAATAGTTATGCAACCGAGAAGTTCGTTGATTTTTTCTTGTTAGAAAGAATACAGGAATAAAATAAGAAAACTTTAATTGCAGAGTTATCACGGTTGTGTCACTGTGATTTTATTTCACAATTAATTTTAGTTTATTTATTATTTGTACAAGCACTGATTTTACTAACTGCATTGCGCGTAGTGACTGAAGCATAAAAACATTCTCCCGATGGTCATCGAATCTAATTCGCTATCAAGTTGATTTTAATTAATTAAAGAAATAGTTCACATTGTGAATTAACAAAACTAAAAGCTTTGCACAATAGAAAAGAAAAAATTCGTTCAACCACGAGATTCTACCGACTGCATTCACTACTTGAAAGATAAAGAATATGTGATTTTAATGAATAAATTATATTTGTTAATAATATTGTATTGTATTTAGCTTATACAGAACATGAAATTAAAATTATATAATGTTTTAAATTTTATATAAAACAAATTCTAAACGTTGTAACAGCAAAAAAGAATTACCACCTGATGGAGACACTGGACGAATACTGTCGGTCAGAAAATACTTGCACAATCTCAAGCCTGGACATAAAAAAGTATTTCCTTTAATTTTCTTTAATCTTATCGGCTTCCAAATGTTGGTTCATCCATTCTTGAAGTAAAGTATTTTTTAATTATCTAACATTTAAACCATTTACCTGATATATTCGTGTCAGACACGGAGAACTACTGATTACCATAATTGACTTTCCCGAGCGTAGCATAGGCATCGTAATCGTAAATATATTGTGGAAACGAAACATAAAACTCTCCTTGATATTAAGGAAATGGTATATGAGAATTGCGAATGGAGGGATCACGCTTAGGAACGAAAACACTGGCGGGATTTGGTATATGCGGCAATGAGCTTTCGAGTTCCCAACACGCCACTTAATAATAAAATATTTTATTATTGACTATATTTTGTAAGTTTTATTTTGCGCAATAACGAATATTAAAAAGGTTAAATTTCTTAGGCTTCTTAACTCATCGATAGAATTATTAAATACTTATATAATACTTTATGTATGTATGTGTGTGTGTGTGTGTATTTTACATGCATTACATTCACTCATACAGTTAATTTCGGCAAGAGAATGAACAAAAGAAAAACATTAAGTCATTGTTTATAAAATAACAGAAAATGGATTTTACGCTTTATTCACGATGACGTACAATTATAAATACGCATTACTTTCAACAAATAATTTTTCACTTCGCCAACTTATTGATACCACTGTGCGCATGATATTTCGTAAATAAGAAGAAAAATACGAAAATACGAAGCTAGGGCGGTTATCAGGCTAAAAGCGAGATGATCACACGAGTTTGATGAGATCGGAATGGTTTCAACTAGATGTTCTGTGTTAAAACTTTGTATAGTCCCATACTAATGCAACGAGAGCTTTTCAGTGTGTATGTTTTTTTAAACTTTCTTAGCTATAGGGGAATTTCGAGTCAACCGGAGTTTGCTTTCAAATATGCACGAGGATTCATCCGGCGACATATTTTCCCTGCTTGTATTTATTTTCGCGTTCAATCGTTGGAAAATCGCGCGTCTCGATGTTAAATCGAGCAAATTTCAGTCCTATTTTCATTTCTTTACAGCAAAACCATCGCCAGTCGGATCGAGCAACCATGGATAATTGTTAGGACATTCCATGCAAGTGAAAAGACGCAGAGTCTCGCCTGGAAGTTCTCTAGTTGTTAATGGACAAGCGTTTGGCAATGAACAGTAGGGTTGACCTTTCTCGTCACAAGTTTCCTTCCAATCCTGGAAGTCTCTCAATGCTGATAGTTCGGTCGGTGTTTGCATCCATTTGATGACCTAAAAAAAAACGAAAAAAGACGATTCGTTAAGAATAAATAAAAGACATTGTATTTTGTTAATTTACCTCTGTAAATTAAATTGATATCTTACCTGAACCATTGTAACAAAGTAAACGTCGCTTCTAGCAAGCATTTCCTCGATAAATTTGATCAGTTCTTCTTTGTATTCCTTCTTACTCTTTAACCAGGAGGCGTGGAAATGTAAACCGAGTGGTGCTCTGTTGGTGTTAAAGTGTCTGTTAAAATTGTGCCTGAGTAATCTGCCGAATTGTTCACCAGTTTGAATATTGGAACAGGAATCGACCATATGACAACCAGGTAGAGATTCATCGAAAGTCGGATCGTCTCTACGATCGAGCTCGTTCATGACCATTTCCCAGACCGGATGTGACCTCGACGGACAGTTTCCACCATTTCCGTTACATTTGTGAGGCATACGGAAATAGAGAGTATATGGCCAAATCGGAACACGTCCTAGGGATGCTGTGATTGAGGCATCGTAAACGAAAAACTGATCAGCCATCATATCGAATTGCGTGTTGCCACCTACTCTCAGGTACGGAGCCCTCATACCAATGATGGACCCATCAGTAATGTTAGCGAAACGTTCGATGATAAGTCTGGCTCCGGCCATCTCGGCCAACCAATCATCGTAGGTACCTTGGGTCCAATATTGTGGATCGTCTTTATGAGTGAGAGAGAAAACTGCGATCTCATGACCACGTCGATGAAGATCTTGAACCGCGGAATAATTTGTATACTTGTGAGAAACAAAGAAGGTACCACGTATTTGGCAACCATTAGGATTCTGTCGTTGACCATTGAAAACTTCTTCGTAAAGATCGATATTATCAACGTTTACTGCTCCATTGAACGTAATGGTTATCATTTGTGGAACTTGTTGTGGCTCGATATTACCAGGAATACGAGTACCATCAGCTGAACAATAACAGTCTGGTAAAACGCATTGTGTTGGATCACAGTCTGGTGCACGGTTAGGATCTGTTTCAACGGCTGTGAAATTAATAATTACAATTAGATCAATTTCTTTTTACATTTCGATTCATAGAAACATTATTGGAATTATTTTTACTCACTACAAGCATTTTCATCAGATTCGTCTTTACAATCAGGCTTGCCGTTACAGAAAAGTTCCTTGTCGATACATTCTTTATTTCCGCATGACAACTTTCCATCCGGGCAAACTGGTTCATCGGTTTTTAAGATGGGTAAGACCTTACGTGGCTCTGCAAATGTAACTCTCGATTAATGATGTCCTCATAAAGGAACTCAATAGTCCGATCTACGGCGGTAGGCTTTCGAATTAGGTCACCAGTGTATAATCGTTGTAAGAGGTGTGTAATCAAGGCCCAATACTACTTGTACTCCCAATTTTATATTTACACGCATCAACGCTTCGATGTAGACCGGCTATAGGCATGAATATTTTTCTCACAAAATATTTATTTGTCTGCATTTTTACGAAGCTTAAATATCGTGCTAAAATTAATTCTAACCCATTTCCAAAGCTTTACTTTTTTTTTTTTTATAACCGATAACAACACTTTCTACAAAACTTTTCGTTTATTTTACCAAAAAAGATAATTATCCGATATATATGTATATGTATATATATATATATATAATTAAAGGGAACGTTGCAGGTTGTGATGGTAGTATTAGCAGCAGCAGCAGTAGTAATGCTAACTTTACTTGTTTGTATATATATTTACATAGGATTTGGTATTTCTTATTTGGGAGATTCATTATTGAAATTTCACATAATTATCATTTTTATCATTAGTTTCATTAGTCCTTTAAATAAAATCCTAATTATATAGAGAGAGCCTTGACTTTCAGTCTCGTTTTGTATTCTCGTCATATAGTCTGTATTTTTTCAAAAGTCTCTTAAGTATTTATTTTTCACTCGAGAGGAAGGTGGTCGTGACTCGAGTGCTGTGTCGGCTCACGACGACGCACGCAAGCTTCTTGACTATTATTTGAATTTTGCATGCCCATGAAAGAGGTCGTGGAAAAAAAAAATGAAAAAGAAAAGAAAGAAGACGTAAAGTAAATGGATAAGAAAAAAAATGTAGATAGATAGAGAGAGAGAGAGAGAGAGAGAGAGAGACGAGAACGATGTGTTAATCACGTATTCTCACGCATTCGACTTATGAATGAAAGAAGAAGCTTTCGTATGCAATGTTTGATATGCAGTCTTCGTTATTATACACGTTACTTTCTTCTCATTCTTTCTTCTTTTTTTATATATTTTCAGTGCTTTTCTTTTATTTAAAGATCTTATGAAAATATTGCGTATGTTTAATCTGACGAAATGAACGTAACTCAAAAACTACAGTAATTCTTCGTTATTTGTCGTGTTGAGATCCTTAAAATGTTGCACGGATAATGAAATTGCAAATAAAGAGATTAGACGGGCAAAAAAATTAAGGTTTAGTCAGACATTACTGATACAGATCAGTTAATTGTATTATTACTAAAAAATTCTCAATCTCAATGTTCTCGTTAAATTTTCGCATCAAATTCGAAACCGTGTTTAACCGAAATTGCGGATACATAAAAAACAAAAATCCACGAATAACGAAGAATAACTGTATTTCGAGTTACATTGACAAATCAATTTGAAGCAATAACGTGTGTGCGACAATGAGAAATAGAAATAGAAATAGAAATAGATAAAGAAAGGAAAAAAGATAAAAGCTAACAGATGTATAATTATTTTTCGATAAATGATCGATTAGATGTATTCGAAAGAGGAGTTTCGATGAAGTAAAAGCTAATTCAAGGCGTCTGAGTAACTACGAGATCTCTTATAAGGAGGCCAACAAATCGTCGGAGCGAAACCGATCTGGATGTCAGGAAATAGAGGTGGAGAGTGAGAAGAAAAGATATATATAGAGAAAAAGAGAGAGAGAGAGAGAGTCGGATAGAACGTTTAACAAGTGCGTGCTACCTCGTACCTGGAGCGATCATGAGGAGAAAGGAGCGTTTGTGTGCGCCGTTCGATGTTAGAAAATCATTGCGTGCCACTGCTTTTTTAGATTTAGATCATTCGCCATGAAATCACGACGAAATCGTACAGATTAAAGTCCAAAGAGAAGAATCACACAAAAACGATTCGATTTTTCGTTACGTCTTTAGTAGTGCCACGCAATTGCGTTGTCTTCTTCTTCTTTTTTTTTTTCTTTCTTTCTTTTTTAAATCTATTTTTTTTCTTCGACGACAAGCTAATATTAGTTATGGTACAAATGATTATGATCATATGCTGTCTTATTGATTAGTCGTATCAAGCATGATTAAAGTAAGATTGATATGAAAGATATAGAAAAATAGTAATATGATATTTAGAGTATATATGTTATTATGATGCATTTATTTGTTTCTTTTTTCTTTTTTTTTTTTTGGTTTGTTTCTTTATTTTTTTGAGAATATCCTGCGATCTTCTAATTGCTCTAATTATTTACTTTGTTTTTTATCATTTGGCGAGAAGTTTTTTTGATTACAGATCTGTTTATCTTGTACGTAAGTTATAAAAGATTTCTAAAAAATTAATTTAGAGCCATGGAAAGATCGTTGATCATTCTCGAAAGATTCGAGCATTATAGTGCGTTAGTGCTAGTAATCTTTCAGTGCGTGCTACGTCATGAGTCTACGAAGAGACCGGAGCTTTCTAGGTTCTTCTGATTCTCTTACGTTCCTTTCATTGACTTACGCAAGAGAGGTTAACGATTCCATCATGGGTAAGTATTGCAACAATATTTTAATCCTACCGTTCTAAGAAACGATAGTTATTTAGTGAATTTGAATAGATTGAATTTGTAGAATAACAAAAATGTTTATTTGTTTTTTTTGAGTAAGTCAAAATGAAATAGGAATGAATTTGGACACGATGCATCGTTGAATGAAGAACCATAATAAAATAAAATCGCTCCGATTCTCACCACCCGATTCTACGACTTACTCTCGAGCTTGTCACAGTTGGTGACTTTGCCCTTCCAGTCACAGGTCTGTTTGTCCAAGTCAAAGGCCAACCCACTGGGACACGTGATTTGCTTCAGCCCGGACCTTGTACACCTGGTAAACGCAGAAAAGGGAATCGTTTCAGTCTAAGAGGGGAAATAAATGAAATTTCGCTTACTCTCCAGCTGTTCGCAGTTCTTGACATTTGTCTTCCAGTCGCAGGTTTGTCGTTCAATGTCGAAAGCGAGACCGGTCGGACATCGTACTGTTGCCAACCTGGTGACGCCGATTTCACTGGCTTTGTCGCACCTGCGATTATTTTCACCCATATCGTATTTTAATAATACGTTTTTTTTTATTTAGGCATTTCGTAAACATGTAAATCATCATTGTGGTCATCTCTACACTAGATAAAATACTTTTTTCTTCGACAATTTATAATTATATATTAGATATTTTTTTGTTGCCTTTCTACATTTAATGGAATCTAAAGTCCTTGAGAATGTAACTTTCTTGTCTGTTGGAGATCGAATGACTCAAAGAAAACCACTCGACATTAGAAACTCGCGACAGATGTTACATTTTATATTATGTATCTATGTATCATATATTACATATATTAATATTAATATAATATCACGGTAATTATGATAATGGAATAACAATCAGTCAAAAATAAAGATAATTTATTTTATATTAAAATTGTTTGTATTATAAAATTAATTATTTTTATTTTTTTTTAATTTATCCCATTGTGATAATTGCCGGCACATATATATTTATATAATGTAATAATGTAATTATATACAATGTTCTTAGAAACTTTGTTTATTCCGTATTACAGTGAATTCTTATAATTAGAATTCGTTACACGATGAAGCAATCGGTGTATGCAACATCTTTTTTAGAAAGCTCATTCAAAGAGATTGCATGTAGTATAATTGCAAATTTTAAACGGCTTATGACGTCTATGTCTTAATTACTCGAGAATATTTTTCAAATAAACTATTGTACGTAATATAAATTTTCTTATTTCTAATAATTAGCAAACGATTTTTTTGTTTTATATTTAATAGAATATCTAAACCGGATACTAATCGTAACGTAAGTGAAAATGAAAGTGCATAAACTGTTACTTTAGTTTCTTTGACGAGTCGTGATATTATGTAATTTTACTGGTTTATAACTTCCGATTTTAGATGCCGATCAATAAATCACACGTTCAGCAAAAGTTATATTATTAGCAAGTGTAAAATCACATATAAAATATTATCTTTTAATTAAATTAGTATATCATACTTTCTATTAGAGATAGCTCGTTAATGTTGCGTAATTGAATCATTAATTTAACCAAGATTTATGTTACTTGAAAATATTCAAACGTGTGTTTACTTTCTCGAAAGTTATAGTCAGTCGTAAAACTTTCTTTAACTCGATCCGATTTACGAAGACGATTTATTTGATTTTTTAAAGTGTTTACAAAATATTGAACATTCAGTACATAAATAATTACTCGTCAAGCGAATGATTACTTCAGCATAGAATCATTTGAAAATGATTATCAACCTACCTGACGACATCGCGACAGTCTCCTCCAATGTTTAACCGGAAATATTCATCACCCGGTCTATCATGACAAAGTTCTTCGGCATTTGCATCGAGTTCATCGGCTCCTTCGTCATCTTGTGCTCTTACTTGTGCTCCTGTAAGAAAAATAAATCCTCTTTTAAAAATTATTTATTACCTTATCATAAATAAATTAGTAATTTCTTTTTTTTTGATAAATAACACACGAAAACAGGAAGTAGTGCTATTTTAAAAGTTGATACAAATAAATAATAATTATACATTACATTATACACGAGTTTCGCGTTATAAATTAAAGGTAAATTTGATTGGATTGTAAACGATTGATATATAATCTTTGGAGACAGATATTTTCATTTGTAATTTTAATATTTACAGGATAAACCCCTAACGAATTATATTTTATTTTGATAAGTAATTTTATTATAATTAACATGTACGTTGTATTCTAATGTTTCCTTTGTTTTTCGTCTTTTTTTTAGAGATTCCCATTGTTATTTCCAACGTATATACGCATTACGTGTTACGAATATTGATTTATTTGTCGATATCATGATATTTGTATGTAAAAGACATCACGATCGAGAGTTGCAGAAAATGTCGCGATCGTGTCGTGCGATTCTTAAATCGGAGACGGTATGGTGGAATAGGTCGACGAACTCTCGAAGTAGAAAGTCTTGGAAATGTCAGGGCAAGCACGGGGAAAGTGATGGTGGTTATTCGAAGTATGTTCTTTTCTCCTTCTCCTTTATTACCTCCCTTTCTCTTTCTATTTCTTTATTTATTTATCTATATCTTTTATTTCTTTTTGCGGTATTAAAATGATATTTGACGAATGACATTAAAGAGCATTAATAATAAATCGAAACAAAATATATGACAAACAAATAAAAACAACGCGAAACAAATAATTAATCTAATATTAAATTATTTAACGACTCGATATATATATAAATAAATGAATAAGATTATTAACTGGAAAAAGGAATGTACCGTTAATGTCTTCATAAAGGTCTTTACCACTCGTTAAAGTCTCCACCGAAGAATAAACTCATACTTCAATCATATTCGAGAGATGTGATATTTAATTCTTTTAATTTATGAAAATTAGAGAGAAAGAGAGAGAGATAAAAGTTCAAAAGAGTGAAAGTCCAAAAACTGGTTTTAAAAGTTCACGATCATTATTTTCTTTTTTTTGGTTTTCAAACAAGTTTATGTTTCAAGATAAAATGGAATGACAAAGAGGATGAAAATATCGATAGAGTATAATGACAATCGACGTGGTGTACTCACCGGCGAATAGACAGAGGGTTCCTAACAGGAATATTAATCTCGACGACATTGTAGGTTGTCGTCGTGGTCGTGGTTGTCGTCGTGGTAGTAGTGGTAGTCGTCGTCGTCGTCGTCAGGATGGAAAGTGTCTGAACAAGCCGCGCCCTCTCGCCCTTCTATATATGCACCACCACTCCTTCCCTCTTCTTTGTAAGAACTTTCACCTTCCGGATCGTGCTGCCACCTTCGTTCTAGCATTCGACAAATATATAATTCTTGGTTTATACGTTTCATGTATGGATGATACTCTTCCTTGGAAGAACTTTATGTCCAAGTCATGAAAACCGATTGTATAATCCAAATTTTGAATAATTCTTTAATGAAGCAAATATTGTTTGAAATTTTAATATTTTTCCAATATTTAAAAGTTAAATCTCAGTGTTTTTAACGATTCATCGACGAATGCAAAAAAAACAATCGAAAGAATCCTGAGTCTTCTATCTAAAATTAAAACAAGGTCATCATTGGTGACTGCCCAATGATATTAAACTTCAACTTCGTTTCTAGATTGTTCGAGAATATTAGATATTATAATTTTTAATCTAGTAAACACAGTTTCGTATAAGAGATTTGCCTTTCATTTTGAGGTTTAGAAAATGGTTTGGTATTAATGTAATTACGAATGACAGATCGAGTCTGTAGTTTTGTGAAAATATAGGTAAAACGCAGGAATAGAAAATAATATGGTTGTTACATTTTGTACAAATTTGCGAATGTTTTTTTTTTTATTGAATTTGAGGAAAGTTTGAGTACTAGTCGTTAATATCAAATAGTATCGTATTGAATCTGTAATATTCAGTTAATCGAAAGGTGGGTAATCATTTTTTCTTCACATTTGAAAGATCTTATCGATTCTCAGCAGAGTCCACTCGGAAAAGAAACCACAATATAAACGTGTGCGTTGGAATCGGTTTCATTATCGAGGTCATATACAATTGACAAAGGCCGTGTCTTTCGGCTGGCATATGGATGAATGTTTTATATTGTATGTCAGACAAATTTCACTAAATTTATTCAATTACAAAAAAAAAAGAAAAAAATACTAGCAAGAATAAAGAAAGAGCAAACAATTTAACGTAGGAAGAATTTAGGAAGAGAAACAAAAGGTAAAAGAAATACTTTCTTATTAAAAGAGTTCACTTTTTTAAATTTCTTTTTTTATCGGGAGATTGATCTAATAGTATAGATTCAATATCATGAAATGGAAAATTCAGGAAGTCTACGTAAAAGGAAATGACGTTCATGTAACGCATTATTGAGGTATATACGATCAAGCAGTCAATAAATTTACAGCTTGCACGATAAAGGTCATCGTTGTCGTCAGTGGTATGTCTCGAAAGGCAACGTATTTTCAACGTTTGTTAACCGAGACAGCTGTTTTCTCTTACATCGAATTTTCGAGTAAAGAATTCATGATCTCTGCAGATTTCTGTTGGACAACATTGAAATTTGTGATTAAGACATTTAAACATGTTCAATTTGTAATTGAACATGTTAAATTAAATAGTTAATTATAAAGTTCACAAGAGTTGCGTTAAGATAAACGAAGATTTAATAAAATTGAGTTGTTTGAAAAAATCTAGGAATAGTGATCGAATTGAATTTACGGTGATTGATTTCTTGATAATTATCACCTGGTAATATATTGTAACACGATATACTTCATATGTGCATTAACTCGATACTCTTATTGTTAGACTAGAAACACCATGTATGTTTTTTTTTTATTTCTCTTTTAGCATAATTTACAAGAGTATCTAAAAGAAAAACAATGTAAGAACGCGGAAGATTCGTGAAATGAAATGCATATCAATCTATCGGATTGTCAGAAATCATATTAACTTTTAAATAATTCATCATTTGCTTGGCAATAAATATTAAACGTGACTATTATATGAAAAGGATAAGTGTAGGAGGTACCAATGGGCACACGGTTCCATAAGGATCCAACTTTGAGGCATTTCTAAACGCGTGTCGTGGAGTCCTTGGTGCGATGCACGCGTCGGGATGCCAATGGGGGCACACGTTCACCGGTGTACCATACAATAAACACGAAGAGAAATAGAAAACCAGTTTTCGCAGAGTACGAGTAGCCAGTGATTTGTGTGTAGTCTTTCTCTCGTTTCTCCCAGCCAGTATCTTTCTTTTTTTTCATTTTTTTATTTGGCTCTTCTTTTTTTTCTTCTTCTTCTTTTTTTTTTTTTTTCTTTTATTATATCTTCATTTCATTATCCAAGATTCGTCTTTATCTCTTTCTTTTGACCTATGTTGAAAGAGATAGACATAAGGGGACATACACCGTCGAAAATCACGCTAGCCGAGAAAGTATAGTGAAACCTTGATCAAAACGTTCAGTGAATTTTTATTAACGAATTTCAAATTATTTTCTCTGTCTACGCGCGAGAGTCTTTGAAGATTCCCTTAGTAATAAACATTTTTTTTCTATCTTATAATGAATTTTATTATACTATTGCGTATGTGTGTTTAATTTTGTTTTTCCCTTTCAATCTTTTGAAATTAATTTAGAAAATTAAAAGTGTGTATTATTGTTACATACTTATTACACAATATATAAAACCGGTATATCGCGGAGATAGTTCATTTGAAAATGTGTTTAAATATTTTTATACGATACGAAAATCAATCGAGCATCGACATAGTATTTTATTTCGTTGTATGTTTTAGCATAGAGAGGTCCTCCTCGTGGTATTCGCGTAACTATAGGTACTTCCCTTTTTAAAAGTCACGAGATGCGAGCTCATGAGCTTTGGTTAAAGAGCACGGCCGATGAGCCATTACGAAATACGGATTAAATCCTGTGGATCACGAGGATATATATGTTGGTATCTCGTCTAGGACAACGGCGACGGTGTAGATAGAGTCTTACGTGTATAGGATAAATGTCAATTGGCAGTTGGCATTTTAAAATGGTGTCTACTTCATCTTTGCAAGCGCCATCATCATGGTACAATACTTCAAGTTTCTTTTATTCTTATTAAGATGAAACTTTTTTTTAACTTATTGTTAGACATTTTTTTTGGTCAATTATTTTCATTGATTTTCTTAGAATATCTGTAAAACAATCTTTAGAATATAGAAAAAGTTATTTCACACATATTATATGTTTAAATAATTGTTAAATTCCGTTCGATGGTCTTATCGTAATTTTCAATGTTGCAATGTGATGCTTAAGTGTGAAAAGTTTTTAGCTCGAATTTTGAATAAACACTTTAAAGTATCGAAAAAAAAAATGTTAGTAGACAATGACCTGTACACGGTCAAGGTGAAAATCATGTTGATGACATTGCACGTCGGTCATAACGAATGAGTTCTCTTATTTTGTCGCGTGACTCGAATAAAATTGATTCATTTCATCACTTACAACGATCTGACCCGTTTACCTGGCCTTTCCTGAGATTTTCTCGATCGTACGAGAACGAATCGAAATGCCGAGGCTTCTTCGATGACGTGAATGATATTTCGAGAAACAAAGAAAGAAATAAATAGAAAAGAATAGGTATATATATATATATTTGTCCAAACCTGAAAAAGCAGTTATGAAAAGTGGTGACCACAAAATAAGCAGGTAGTTTTAGGGCGTGCCAGAAATAAATAAAACTTCGTTACATTCTTGATGCATGTATAATATAATACTAATGTCTAAGTAGGCGAGTATAATTATGCACATCTCGTATTTCGAAACTTACCTCTTTCTCGCCGACACAACGTTTGTATACAGAGTGTAACGAAAATCGTGGGCTGCTCACGTACATTTCGTTGTTTTATCTGCTCATAAAAATCGATCGACTTTGGCAACATTCTATTTTTTCTTTTCTTTTTTTTTTTACCATTTGATACGTACACGATTTCGGAATAATTGAGGAATCATTTTGGCGAAACAACGTAAAAATAAATGTATTATCATGAATTTGTTTTCCCTGGTAAACAGTGAATCATTATTTGGAATTTTGCTATGTCTTATTTTATCACACTTTTAACTAATAGAAAATAAATTTACAAAAGGATAAATAATGTGTTTAAATGAATTGTATAAATGATTTCTACTGTTATATAGATCTGAAACGAACAATTCGATTATATTTTTATTCTTAAGGATTGTTTTGTTATGTTTCTAACTTAAATTAAACAAATTATATAAAAAAATAAAAAAAAAAGTTTGCGGTACAAGTTAAATATATCGATAATTGTTACTTGATGTTTTTCATTTTTTCCAATTGCTAATTATGTGCTGTTTACTATAATTTGAGTATTAAATATAGCTAATGACTTACAGAATAGCACGTACAAGTTTCAGTGCAATCAGTTTTTTAAGTATTGTTTTGTCTGTGGAATTTTGGAAATTCATGTTTAGAGAATAATGCATTTATGGTATCATTTTCAGATATCAAGCCATATAAAAATCAAAATAATGAAAATTTCACACTGGTAAATTTTTGTTTTATATTTTTAAAAGTATGTATAATCAATCCATTTTCTTGGAAAGTTTATTTATTCTTATTTTAAGATATTTAAGGGTTTTAAATTGATTTATATATATAAAAATATTGATAAATATTGATGAGTTGTATAGCTAGTCATATTTTGAACATCCTGTATATGTAACGATGAGTATTCGATTATTCTTACTTGTGCCCACTTTCTCGAGCATTTGTTCGATTCGCATGGACTTCCAAGCTTGGAAAAAGTCTGAAAGTAGTCTTTTGCATTTTGAGAGAGTGCGCGTTGCCACGACTCGGCAGATTTTCTGATAATTGAAAGAGAAACTCAATTATGATGAGTATGAAGATCCGTCGAGTAGTAAAGCGTGTCGATGGAATTAAATGTCTGCTATCATGTACTTACCTAGTTCGCGATTAGTCTTGTATCGAATTACCGTAGTTGAGTTAACCGTCGTGTTACGGCATGCCATCACTGCTGAGAAGAAAGGTGGTTTACCTTGCAGAATCAGCCTTCTGTTGTTTCGATGTTAAAGCAACAAGGAAAAATGCTTTTTTAATCTTTTTATTGTCAATCAAAAACGTTGTACCTATACAAAAAAAAAATACCGATCAATTAGATGTTCTTTTTGTG